GAACCAAGTTTTTCCTATAAACACAAAGAACAAGGGAATAAGTGCATGTAATTCTCATCCAATTAAACAGGAAACATGATAAACAGAGCTACGTATAGTCATATTTATTCCAAGTTCACAGGTTTAACTGGAAAAAATGTAACCCAAGATTCTAACGTATGCCTTATTTGTAATTGATGAGTAGGATCCATAAAAATAAGGTATTTTAAAACCTATGATTTTTATGGAAATGCTAAAAATAAAGGTCTAATAAATATAATTTGCTGACCAGAAAGACAGTTGAACCTGCATCTGCTTGGGGTCCGAATCATCGGAAGTGGCCACGTATTAATACGGGTCACGTGAATGGCCTTATCTGAAAGTACCCAGGCTGTGTGGGCTGCCTTCCTCCTCCGGCTTGTAACTTCTCTAACGCACATCACAGTGACTGAAGAATTGACAGCAGCTTTGTTGGGCCACGAGGACATCCATACCCAAAACTATAATTAGCCTACATTCCGGCTGAGCAGCAATTTTAAAGTATTAGTTTTTATCTCAAAAAAAAAAAAAAAGAAAAAGAAAGAAAGAGAAGGCGACAGGTATTTCCCCCTAGGTAATTATGGAAGGCTGTTTTATTTATCAGATACGTGATGAGGAAGGGGAGAAGTTTAAAGACCCAATCACTTAGAGAATGTCAGTGACAGAACGGAAAGTGAACAAACCTTCCCCAACCGTGAGCACGCAGACCAAAGAACACAGAGGCATAAGTGAGCTCCTCAGATGTCATGTAAACACAAGGACTGCCGTGAGACAAAGCTGAGATAGATTTAACATTAAAAATAGAATCCCTTCTGAAAAATACAAAAATTTTAAAAGTTTTACCAGTTGGCTTGCCAAAAAAATTGCAGAAGTCTCTATTTCCATACTACGGACTTTACTGCCAACAGGCAGCAAAGCCTCAACCTGATCGCATGTGCTTCTCCCACATGGGCAAGTGGGCCATCCCTCACCTTGATACATTTCTCTAATTTCTGAACCGGCTAGAAAGAGTACTTCAGGGGTTATTAGAAAGTTAGCAAAAGACTTTCTCCAGCATTCTAAGACACAATTTCTTCTGCCTTACTGACTAGACGGGGTAAGAAACACAGTAAAAATGACGCTTCAGATCTTTAAAAGGAAAAAGTGCTTTTCTGTCAACACAAACAGTACTTCTGTTCTTACGACCTTAATAAATCCTTAAATTTCCTCTAGCTAACTGACAAAGGAAACCAAAGATCTTTCAGCTTACATCTTTGTAACTTGTGAAGGACATGTGTGGGGGCTTAAGTTGTACCACAAATAATTATTTTATGACTAAAAATACTTGTGTGCCTAGAAAATTAAGTGGGAGTCTCAAAGGCTGAACAGTGAAATGATAATACAAAGACCCGGATTCTGCTTCTGGTTTCTACTCACATATGAGGTGGGGAACGAGGCCCCATCTACTGCGCCTCAGAGACTGCTCTCTGTCCAAGGGCGGGGGGGGGGGGGCACCGGACCCATCACAGAGACGTGAGGATCAAAGCAGTATGTTCTAGAAAAGGCTGGGAGCCACACATAAGAAACAATAAATAAAGCCCAACATTAAATGTGATAAACGGCATTAGGTGTGCTGAGGATAGGGTGCCTGAAATCCTATAGAACATATGGACACCACAGAGGTCTACATCCATATGTCAGACACTTTGCATTTTTTATTCTGTACTAGTTTCTCACTCTATAAGGCCAGCCCATCTGTGCATAAAGTTTCTCATTTAAAATACAGCAAAATAAGTTGCTCATGGAGAGGACTTCTCAATCCTGTGATGAACATCGCTTTGACTACAAGGGTACTGTATGCAGTGGCCAACCATTTACTGACTACCTGCTATATGCCAAGCACTGGGATTAGCAGATGGGCAAAGACAGGGTCACTGCCTGCCCACAAGAAGTTTATGATCTAGAGGGAGGGCAGCATGACAGCTCCCCAGAAATCCAAACAGAATTCTTGGTGGGTGCTCTAGAAGCGTGTGCTGATTAAACCCAGGGCAGCTTTTATGCACTATTCGGAGTCTCCTCTCTCCCTGGCTCCACAAAGGCTCACGGACATGAGGGGCAGCCACAGAACAAGGCAGTCTTACCCTCCCTCCAACAAACCAGGTGCTTTTTAAGGGGGTTCCAGCGCCTTTTAAATCCATGCCAAGTGCCACCTCATTCTTTCCCCAGATAATCAATTGTCCTCATCTGACCACAGGAGGCCCCTCTGGAATCAAGCAGGCCAGCAAGAAGGTAATACTGCAGTGTTTTTAGCACTCCTTGGAAATCTTTTTGGTTTGGTACACTGAAGTAGGAATGCACCAGATGGAACCCCAATAGACCAAGGCAGCTAAAGAATTTCTCTGAAAACCTAACTTACTACCATGAGGAATGAGGCGTCACGGCAAACACAGCCCTATTGCTACCAGGTCAATGTAAGGATGTGCTTCCTGTAAATGGCACTGTCAAAGCCTCATTGAAGCGGCGACATAACCGGACACTTCAGAACAAAGAGTATACCATCCATCATCGTCCAGACACTTGTCTTTGGCTGTCGCAGTCCGAGGAACGCCTACCGTTAGCTATCAGTTCCTCACAGCAATGAAAATAAAGAACTGACGAAATAAACAACGAATTTAAAAATTTCTTAGGCCACATCTTTATAGCCCAGTGGCTATATTAGTTGGCAAACACTGTTCTTAATCCCACTAGAGAAATGCAAACACCAAGTAAAACTTACCACCAACTACAACTCTTGTGAATATTTACACCCAACATGAGTTTAACACAGTAGTATAAACTGAAGGGCCACGGGCTCAGGAATTTATCTGAAGCACCAGGAAACAGTAATATATGTAGTCTCGAACTACAATTGAAAAAGTAAACATATATAAACACACTTACCAAGTCACATCACACACACACATTCTCTCCCCCTCTCACGCTTTTCCCTCCGGCAGGATACAAGCACCCTCACACACTCACAAAAAACACTTCATTTTAAATTAAACACTTACCTCTTCGAAAACTCTCTATTTGGATGCGTTAAACAAACAAACAAACAAACAAACAAACAAGCCTACTTTAGACTGTAGCCTAGGAGAGATCCTTTAAATATTCACTGACTAACCTGAGACAACTTTCCTTCTGTTGGTGGGATAATGAAAATACATTGCACTTCCCCCAAAGGTATTTTATTTAAAATTTTAAGATCTACCCTGAACTGCCAATTCCAACCTACGCCTGGTAAAAGTGCCTTATGAAAAAGAAGTATTAAAAATTTATCAAGAAAAGATGTTTCAAGCATAAGCGGAATGTTAAAACAAACCTGCATGAGTTAAAATTTATTTCACAATACTGAAGTGTCATTTACAAAAAAAATTAATTTTGGAACATAATAAAATTAAATATATTCCTACACTTCGACATAATATTTTAATATATATATTATATATAAAATAACAGCTTGGCACTTAGCAGCTTCTGTTGGTTATAGCATCCCATATTATGTGGCAAATTTATTTTAAAAAATATTACCTAATTTCTGTAGCTACCGTGTCAATGAACTGAATAAAAAACTAAAAAAAATAACTGTTTTTATAAAATGAATTTACCAAGTCATGCAGGCACTGAAAATATTGCAATAGGGAGCCATTCATTCCTAAACAATGAATTATCTCCTTGGAGAGGCCTGGCGTAGACTGGGAAGAATTTTAAACTTCAGAAATTAAAGAGAGAGAGTTGCTGACTGTCATGGCTTTCATAGGGCATCAGTCACTACTTTAATGTACCTCAGCTGCAACTTCTGAAGGCCAAGGTTCTGTTTGGTACAGGGCATGTTACCAAAGAAAATTCACTTTTTCAGCTATTTGTTTCCCGTAAAAAATGAGTATCTAATTGGAAAAAGAAGTTTGCTTTTTCTGCGGTGGCCACGTGGCTTGCTTTGATAAAAACGTAGCCCAGGCATCACTGGGAAGGTGTGCAGACTATAGCTGACTGGTACACACAATACACAGGAAAAAAGGTCAGCTTTGCTGTATATGTGAATGTGTGGCAAATCTGGCCCAGTGCCTCTGATACAGAAGATAAACACTGCCCGCCTTCTTTTACCAGGATCTTCTGCCACACACAATGTTCTTTAGAACCCCCACAGGCAAGGCTTCTTCCAGCAGCTTTTATAGCATTGCACTGACTCCTAATAGGTATAGGAATAAAAACTGCAGATAGGGGGTTACCCTTTCTTCTGTTCATGGGTGGGGAAACATAAACGATGTTTCACAGGCATATTGTTAACAGCATAAAGCATTCCATCTAGGAAGTTTCCACAAGAAACTCCTATTCTCAAATTTATAACCAAAGGATACATTTATACATTTATTAATCATTAAGACAAAATACTGCTTCTTACAGCCATTTACCAAGAGGGGACAAAAAAAAAAAAAAAAAGCTGTAGAAAACAATTAGAAATGAAGAGCTCTGTATTAAATTGATTAGAAATCTGATATTGCATAAAATTCAAATTATGACATCATCAAGCACTGTGAAGTCCCCGACTGCACACTAAGGTGGCATAATTTGAATGGAAAACAAAGTATCTTACACGACAAGTGCTACTAATGACATACTTTTACCCCCAACAGGAAGTGGGGTAGTGTGGGGTGACATGGGAGTGTGGGAGAGGGGCGGAAGGTGGAGGAAGAAATGAATTTGCTCTACTATGAACAGAATGAAATTAAGTTGAGGTAGTTTATTCTACCAGCCAAACTTTACTTATAACTTAATTTGTCTAAAACTCTTGCTAGTGAACAGCACTGAGAAAATTCTGCTACAAAGACTAGATTCTTAACACACGTGCGCGTTCTAAGACAAGTTTTCAATCCTTAATGGTAGTAAACAAGACTTTGTGTGCTTTCGGACAGAAGGAAATTTTTGATCCCTATATAATATTTTGTCTGGACAGTTTTTGTAGTCATGGCAGACCTTTATGATTTGTCTGACGTAGGTCTTTCTTCTAGAAAATCTACTCTGCTTCATAACCTCGTGCTTATAAAATGGTTCTGATTATTTGCAAGGAGGAATGGCACCGCATGAGAGCCTTCACAATCCCAGAAATCATGGCATGATGTATCTGAATCAACACAGAAGTTAGCAACTTCCCTTCAATTCACACGAGGGCTGCAACCTGACTCATGGATTTATTGAACCTTTAGATGACTAAGATAGAATGTCATAAAAGAGAAATTTTATCTTAGTTTCAATTCATGATAATATAGTTTAAAAAAGATTCTTCAGACACAGTACTAGTAGCAAATGGACACTAACTGGCATACAGTCCAATCTAACATGTTAGGCACAAACCTTATTTGCCGGGCAGGGTTGGGCATGATATTTCCTTCCAAGTGTAGCAGAAAAGCAATCTTGGTATGTCTGGATATGTGGATTTGCATATACGGATTTTTGTTTGTTGACCAAAGCCAGGTACTTGAACACAGCAGTCACTCAGACATGCGTTCCCTTCAGGGAAGATGCACCTTAGGATTTTAACTTCAATATTTTACATGATACCGATTCCCACTTCCCTTCCCCCTTTGACATGGACTAGCCTCCGTCTGTCTGCAGACACGTCTCCCTGGAGGAACAGATTCCTCCCTTTCAACAGTTACAGGTTCTCCCAAACGAGAGCTGAAGCTCAGGCTTCTAAGCATTACAGTAAGACCACCAGAGTTACCATACAAAGCCGGGCACACAGAGCAAGTTTTGGCTGCCACCTCTGTTCCCCTCACAGAAAGCCGTGTTATGGTGTGCTTGGTCAGGAGCTCTGCTTCTGCTCTGCCTCCTCTTCAAGGTGAATGAACACGGATACGGAATAAGCCCTGCTGGAGCTGCAGGCGGAAAAGCTTGCAGTTTGCAATGCGTAAGGCTGCACACCCAGTGCGGCGAAGGTCAGACGGAAGGAGTGGTTTCGTGTGGTGCCAGGTTCCTGTGCTTCTTTTAAACTCACGCACGTAGTCGTAATTCGTACCTAGACCGCGAGAAGCAGCACAGGTGATACAACGTGACTTGGAGTCACCAGGAAATAGATCCAGCCGAATCACCACAACGTTCTTACCTGTATCAAGATCTCCGATAACATAAATACTGGCTCCTATGGGTACAGCTCCATAAACAAAAGAGGAACTGGCGGGGATGCATAAGTTCTGGTCGTTAAGATAGATCCACCTGAAAGTGAACACATGGGCAAAACCAAGGAAGTCAAGAGGACGACAAGGTCTAGGGAGACAGCACAATTCGGTGAGCCAACAGTACCAGGCACTGCGCCAGTTCAGCTCAACCCACATCCCCATTGCCGGGTAACCGCTGAGTTCCTTCCTGTCACTACGGATACTAGTTTTGCCTGTTCTAGAATGTCACCTACATTGAAACGTAAAGAGCATGCACTTTTCAATCTGCTTCTTTTGCTCAGCACAATGTTCCTCAGATTCATTACACTGTTGCTTGCATCGATAATTCGTTTCTTTTTAAGTGGTATTCCATTGTATGGAGAGACCAGAATTGGTTTATCCATTCACCTGCTCACGTCATCTGGGTAATTGCCAGTGTGTGGCTATGGTGAATAAAACCGTTGTGGACACTGGAGTGCAAATCTTCTTTGTGAATATTATGTCACGGAATTGACTGGCTATATGGTTTAACATATATTCCACTCGGTAAGAAAATGCTGCACTGTTTTCCAAAGTGTTGTGCCATTCTGCACTGCAATTGGCAACATCCGGGAATTCCAACGGCTCCGCATTACCACCTGCCCTCACTCCTGTCGGTCTTTCTTTTTTTTTTTTAAAGATTTTATTTATTTGACAGAGAGAGACACAGCGAGAGAGGGAACACAAGCAGGGGGAGTGGGAGAGGGAGAAGCAGGCTTCCCGCAGAGCAGGGAGCCCGACGCGGGACTCAATCCCAGGACCCTGGGATCATGACCTGAGCCGAAGGCAGACACTTAACGACTGAGCCACCCAGGCGCCCCTGTCGATCTTTCTGACGGTAGCCGTGTTAGTGGTGGGGGCTTCCCTGAGAAGCAGCATGCTGGCTATCTCCGTGTGCGCTCACTGGCCATTTTACCCATCTTCTTTTGCGAAACGTCTGCTCAAAGAGTCGCTCATTTTTTAAATTGGGTTTTTTGTCTTCCTACTGAATTGTAAGATTCTTTGTATTCTGGGGATACAAGTCCTTTGTTAGATACATATATCATGAATATTTTCCCCAGCTTGTCGATTATCTTTTCATTTTCTTAATGGAGCCTTCTGAAGAATAGTTCTTAATTTTGACGAATTCCAGTTTTTTTTTGTTTTTGTTTTTTAAATAGTTCATGCTTTCTGTGTCCTTCTAGGAAATCCCTGCCTATTCCAAGGTTGCAAAGGTTTTCCTCCCTATGCTTTTTTCTGGAGATTTCATAGTTTTGGCTTTTACACTCAGGTCTTACAATATATTTCAAGTTGAATTTTGGGTATGCTATGAGGTAGAAGTTCACTTTTCTTCCATAAAGATATCTAGTTGCTCCAGCATCATTTGCTGAAAAGATGTTTCTTTCCTCACTAAATTGCCTTGGCACTTCTGTTGAAAATCAATTTAATAACCACAAAAAGGATCCAGGGCTCCACAAAGAGGTGGCCGATTCCCCAGCTGAGAGAGAAAATATCAGATGAGTCTGGAGCATCTTGTGCTGCCAGAGAGGAAGTGCTTAAAGAAGGGTGGGGCATGTCCATAGGACCCAGTGCTAATAGGAAGGTGTTCCTGATGGCCAAAGCTGGAAGAAGTGAGCAGCAAAATAAATAATGATAGTACTGGATTTCTAACTCAGAGAATAAAATAAATATCCGTGAGTCCATACTGATACAAGTAAGTAACAGAATATGTTAAAAAAAAAAAAAATAGGGAGAAGGGACAGGTCTTCTCTTTAGAGAGTTCCAGTTAACAAGTGTAGACAGAACAAGAGAAAGAGAAAGATCAGCATTAGGAGACCACCACAGTTCTAGTGACTGCAGGCGGGTCCACCGACGGAAGCTTAATCAGTGGCGAAAGTCTGAGAAGAAATGGTGTATTTGCATATTCTCAATTATCTCTTCTAAAATATTTGTTAATTAAAAGGAAAGAATAGCAACTTTACAGTGGAGAAACCCAACAGATCCCACCTTAACGAGGTAATCAAGGTTAGCATCACCAATAATAAGACATGGGGACAGCACGTCCTCCTCGAAGTGGGGGTGGGGGACATCACCGCCGTGGTGTTCCTGCCAAAAATGCCTAACCTCAGCCTAATCATGAGAAATCATCAGACAAAGCCAAATGAAGAGACACTCTATAAAAACACGGACCAATCATCATCAAGAATAACATGGTCATGAAAGGCAGTGGAAGACCAAGGAACCATCACAGGTTAAAAAAGACTAAAGAAACACAACTCGGTGTGTGGTAGGATCCTGCATGGCATCCCAGAGCAAAGGGAAAGGAGGGATTATCAGACGAGCTGGTGAAATTCGAATAAAGACTATAGTTTACTTAATAATATTGTACCAACATAAATACCTTGGTTTTGATAGCTGTACAATGTTTACGTAAGATGTAAACACGAAGAAAAGCTGGGTGAATGGCTTAATGGGGACTTTTTTTTTGCAAGTTTTCTTTAAGTGTAGAATTATTTCAAAATTAAAGTGGTTTTTGTTTAAAAAACAACAACCACAACAACTGTAGATTCTGCTATATAGGAACGTTTACTTAAGGTAACTGGACCAAACAATTTCCTTTGGGTAGCTAACGACATAGCTGGGGTATAGCAGCCCTCAGTCAGACTTTGGGAATGGATCTAAACCCGTCAGAACTACCAACATCCAGGCCTACACTCCTTACTGGAACAGACGGCGTGTGGATGTTATTCCTGTGTCTCTAACTCTGCCATGAAGTGCCCAAGAAGCCAGTGGCTTAGCTCTAGTGCATCCGAATGTTAAATACAAATGTGGAACTCTTTGACTAAGAACAGCACTTTTATTTCAAAGAACTCTTCCCAGATTGTTACAAAGTAGCAGCTTCCATATTTTGAATTCTAAGCAAAATGATCTGTCCAAGATCACATAACGACTCACAGGCACGGCTAATGGATGGCTGCCATAGTCGAATACCTGTACTCAACATTTGATTCCTCTTCCATCTGAATGTTGACCGGTATCCAGCAGTTTGCTGCAACTGGGGAATAGTTTGGCCCTTGGTGTCAAAATGTCTCTAAGAAATAGGGGAAGGAAACATCCAAGAGCTCTCACTGAAAAGTAAAAATAGGGACCTGAACGGGCCTTTGAAAGAAAATGTTTGAAAACGTCAAACTATAATAACTGGTTTATTCACATTTTATGTCTTCAGGGCTAAACCTAAATATGTAAACCTTGACATTTAAATTCTTCCCAGGTTCTGAATCAAATGAAGCCGATGAGCGTCCCCAGGTCTCATCTGCTGCTGAACCCTACACCTAGGCCCAACCCCAGTGGAGAGGCACACAACTCTTCTGGACAAATCCATAATGGGGCCATGTGTATGCTCACGAGGGTAACTGCCACTTCTAAATGAGCATCTATGACTAGACTGTTTACTGAAAAGCCTATCAGAATACAACAATATTTTGGCATAATTTTGTAGAGTTGAGAATCTCACATTATTCCTCCCTGGAATAATTAAACAAAGCTCAAGAGATTGGGCTATGTAGATGATCTACCAAATTTGGTCCAAGGCAGATCAATGACTCAAAGTTCCTGGGTTTCAGAAAAATAATCCTAGGTGATCTATTTCATGTAACGCTGAGGCTTCAAATGAAATGAAACATAAAAACTGAATTGCAGCATGTATTTAGCTGCTGCTTTTAAAACAGGTATAAAAGGCACATGGTTTTGCCTTCTTTCTCTGCCATCTATCACCTCGTTGACCTTGGACAATTTAGCTAACCGTCATCTGTAAAGTGGGGAGACCAAACACCACCACTAACATCCAATGACTTGCAGGGATGAAATGAAGTGGTCAGTGTAAAATACTTCACATAGCGCCCTGTACCTGGCGGGCATCACTAAGGAGCAATCCTGTTTGTAACAGAAGAAGCAATAGTATGCCTTTAGTTACAGTGTTTTCAAACATGGGCTTATTAGGACTTGAGGGTACAGGGATGTGTCTTCTGGTAACTTAGAATTAGCAATGTCCCTTGCAAAGGAGACTTTAGAATATAGCCTGGCTTGTAGCAGTGAGCTTCAGCAAGAGCAGAGTAGGAGGGAAGGACAGGCAAGGAGAGACCGGGGGGGTGGGGGGACAATCAACTGGAGAGGAGAAGGAAAGACAGAGGGAGCTTTAGTGAGGTTTCTGCTTCCGGGGGTGGGGAAGAAGCCCTTAACAATCCAATCCTCCTGTGACCAACAGCTACAAACTCTGGATGAGATACAAAAGATAATTGCCTGAGGGCTCTGGAGACTGAGCAAAAGCAGGCAGATTTGAGAAAGGGAAAATTGAACAAGCAACCCACATGGAGGGAGTTTCTGGATCTTTGATAGCTTTGGCTGAAGGCAGCGTGACACCCCAGCTCCAAGTAGCTGAGACCCCTAGAGAAGACCTGCCGTCTTCGCAGCCACTGGAATCAGGGCAGAGTGTCTTGAGCCAACCAGAATCTCCAGGGTGTATGGAAGTCTCAGAAAGACGGGAGGTAGAGAAGGAGGCCTAATTTTATGTGCATGCACTTGTCTCAAGTCTTCGACTGACCCGGAAACCACGAGTGCTCGTAATTGAGGCTGGCTTACAGAACCAAAGGGAGGTTTGAGCTGCCGTGCACTGCAGGTGTTGACAGCCTGCCAGGAGTCGAACCAGGTACAAGGCCTGCCAGAACTCTCAGTGCAACACTCTGAAGCACGGGAAGAGACTTCAGGGCCCCGACAACGTGACAGTCACGATGTTTGGGATGCAACGCAGAATTACTCAACAACAAAAAAAAGCCAGAAAAATGAGAACCCGTTCTCAGGGGAACAAACCATGCACAGATGCCAACTCCAAAATGACCAACCGAATGCTGGGATTATCTATCAGGCGGAGACCTGAACGTGGCTACTAGAACTATGTTCAAAAGAGAACATGCTTATGATGAAAAGATGGGAGATTTCAGTAAAGAAATGAAAAAATCTAAAATTCTACCTGAAGAAGCTGGGAAAGGAAGAGCAGAATAAACCCAAAGAAGGTAAAAAGAAGGAAATAATATAGACAAGAGCAGAAACCAATGAAACACAAAACAGTGGAGAAAATGAACCAGCCTTGAAAAAAATAAATGCAGTGGTAGGCTTGGCCAGTAGAGGGCGCTGGAGGGACCTCAAGGCTGGATAGTGCAAAGGGCTTCCTTCCTGGGGTTGGTGTGCCTTTCTCCCTCCTCCCATGGGCTGCGGCCTGCAGTGTGCAGGAGACCCAGAGGTGCCTGCCCTCAGCAAGGTCTGCCACCCAACAGGCAGCGTCCTGCATGCAGTGGCCACACCATACCTTGCAGGGTGGGGAGTTCTCTCCCCAGTTTGCTCCTCCTTAGGATACTTCCCTCAGCCCTAAAGGTAGTAGTAACCACGCTTCCTACAGTAGCTATTTCTGCACTCATCAGAGCTCTCTTTCACCAGTCAAATAACTATGTGAATTACATTTTCCCTGTTCAGATTACTGGTGTGGTTTCTGTCTCTTGACTGGACCGTGACGAAACAGATTTGGTCGGGAATGCGGTTCAGCGCTCCATGTCTTACAAAGGCATCTGTAGTACCTGTTACCTCCTAACCAATGATCCAAACACACATAATGTCAATGGGGTGGACCGGTAGGATGTTTTCATGGAACACCAAGGTGATCAAGATCTCCCTGGAGTAACATATGGAGACAGCAGAACTGACACAGCGCTGAGGCCAGACAGTGCAGGGTCCTGTTGGCCCTGCCGGGCAAAAGCAAACTGCTTCTGGTGCCCTGCAAATTGGTACGAAGAAAAAGCATTAGCTGGGTTAATAGCCGCACACCAAGGCCAGAGTCCGTGTTGCATAAAGATATATTTGCAGAAAGACACCACATCTGGGACTAAATGTGTGATCATCAGGGTAACCACCAAATTACGTTTATGAAAGCATACAGTTATTTTCCAAAATCCATCTGACTTTTCTACTTTTTCTAAGTGAATTAAGTGGGGATATGAAAGGCAGCTCCACTCTTGCATTTTCAAGTTTTTGATGGTGGCACTAATTTCCGTAAATTCCTCAAGGATGTAGAACTGCTTCCGGTTTTCTGTCTTGGTAGGAAAGTTACAGAGACTTCCATGCAGCCTTTCCTACCATAATGGCCCCCACCCCGCGGATCAGAGAACAAACATGGGGATTCCCTGTTGTCAAGTGCGTCTGCTCAATTATAGATCAAAAGATGAAATTGGCAGATCCTGACTTCAACAGTCACCATGACTGTTCTAGAGAAACAAAAGGGTGGCATCTGGGCTGAGCACGTGCATGGAGGCAGTCAGACATAGGATGGGTTAAGAAGGGAGCTGAAGTGCAAGACATGGGAAAGAAGAGACTAGAAAAGACTGAACATTTCTCTTAACCTCAGACAATGGAGAACACCAGCAGGAGGCTACATTCTATTATCTCTGGTTTGGTAAGCAAAGGGGAAATACCAAGAATTTCCAGGAGAATGGAATGACCAAAGTCAGGTTAATCTTTCAAAACCACAAACAGGCCAAATGCCCAGGAAAACTGGTTAGAAGGCTGATGCCATTGCACACATGAGAAAGCGAACACTGGAGGGCAGGAGCAGAGAAACGAAGGTGGGTGACGTGGGAAATATTCCAGAATCTAAAAAAGCAGACGAGACTTGGCAACTGATGAGATGTGAAGCATGAGAGAGAATCAAAGATGAGCTTTTTTGAGTACGGATAACTGGGAGGATGGTGGTATTAGAAGAGCAGGGACACCAGAACAGAAACAGAGCTGCCTGTCATTCTGTATGTATTATCAAGTTGTCACTATGACGTGATAGAACTTATGGCAATTTCTTTGCTTTTCTTCAAACGGTTTTGTTTTTCATTAGAAACACAGAAAATAAGATATGGCATTTTTCCAGGAAAGTTTTAACCTAAAAATAGGGAACAAAGACAGGAAAGACAAGAGATTACTTAAAAACAATAAACGGTCTCCAATCTAATACAGATTGCTCATCTGGCAACAGTTTCCATAATACGCAAATATAACATACTTGGAAACATCTGCTCTTCTGAGAAATACAATTCGGCTATATGTTATTTTCTTCCTATAGATACTTACAGGAAAGCCTGTAATTTTAACGCAATGTAGTGTGGTGTCTGAAAAGGTGACCTCTGGGGCCAGAGTGCCAGCTCTGCCACTTGCTACCTGCGTGTCTCTGAGCACATTACTTCACCTCTCCGTGTTTTGGTTTAAAAGAGGAATAAAAAGAGCACATGGACTCAGAGGGTTGTTTTGAAGACTGAGTTACAAAGGAGTTAAAACATGCACTCAGTGTTATGTATGCGTCTAGTGTCACCCAAGCAAGAATCCTATACATTACACTGACAAAAGAAATGAAGCTTTCCTCATTCTATTATTTAAAAACTAACCCTGGGGCGCCTGGGTGGCTCAGTTGGTTCAGCGACTGCCTTCGGCTCAGGTCATGATCCTGGAGTCCCAGGATTGAGTCCCGCATCAGGCTCTCTGCTCGGCAGGGAGTCTGCTTCTCCCTCTGACCCTCTTCCCTCTCGTGCTCTCCGTCTCTCATTCTCTCTCTCCCAAATAAATAAATAAATAAAAAATAAAAACTAACCCTGGTGGGCCCCTGGCTGGCTCAGTTGGTAGAACATGAGATTCTTGATCTCAGGTTTGTGAGTTCGAGCTCCACGATGGGCCCAGAGCTTACTTTAAAAACTAACTTTGTACAGCTCAGAAACAAAGAGACTAATGATCCATGAATTTATTTGGAAGTGCTTTTTAAGAGCAAGGAAGGAGCCACATTCTTATGCCTAGTACTTATGAACTGAAAGCAAGTAATACACTTACATTTAAATCTTATCAACTATTAATATGAAACACCTGACAGAAATATAAAAGTTCTAGCAATTGATAGCATATTAAGGGCAGACCGAGAAACTCTGCACCAGATTTAAGTCCTAGAAACAAACACGGACAGGGAAGGGTGAGGCACAAGTGGCCTTGATTCCTCCAGCAAAACCAGCGGCAGCCTCCAGCTCACACTGCCCAAACAGTAATTCGGTCATTATGAGGATGGCACAGGTCAATATTCTATCGGAGACCAAACACACTGACCACTGCTTATAAATGAAGGTGAGCAGACAGTCTTGAGATTCATTTGGGCAGGAATTAACATGCTATTTTATACCTTGGACAGTCAGCCCTCACAAGAATGTATCAAGAGAAATGTAGAAAAGTCTGAAATTCTGCCCCACCCCCACCATAGCAGACATTCTCTAAACTGTTCTCATACTTTGCCTAATGAATTTTCCGAAGAAGGTCTACCCATGTAATTGATGGGGGGAAGAAAGGCTATGCAAATAGCCTCAATTTAAAATACATTAAAAGTTAGGTAACATATACATTTTTTTCTAAAGTCTTGGTCGCTGCTCATTGTTTGCCCTAATCTAAACTAGTATGAAATTAAACATTGCCTTACGGCACCCCCTTCTGGTAACAGGATTGAAATACTGTAACAAGATGAATTTTCACATGACCATTTCCCTCTAAGGATTTGAATAGTCCAGTTTAGCGGTTACCACAATAAAACGTGTGGAAGGAGGGAAGGAGAGAAGGAAAGAAGGTTGGTAGGAGGGTGTCTACTCTACAAGACCAGTACGGCAACCTGTCAGATGTTTTAAGACTCTGTGACACCAGACTTCATCCACTGAATCAACCTTTCGTTGAGCGTTTAACACAGGCCAGGTATGATGCTGAAACTAGGATCCATGGACAGCGGAGCCGAACCCTGCCCTCAAGAATCTTATGGTTAGGGTGCCTAGGTGGCTCAGCTGGTTAAGTGTCTACCTCTGGCTCAGGTCATGATCCCGTCCCACATCAGGCTCCCTGCTCAGTGGGGAGTCTGCTTCTCCCTCTACCCCTCCCCCCTGCTTGTGATCTCTCTCTCTCAGCCTGTCTCTCAAACAAATAAATAAAATCTTAAAAAAAAAAAAATCTTATGGTTAACAATTACAATGCAAAAGACATGAACTGAATGTTTGGGATTACAGATGGAGGAGCCTAAACGAGACTGGGAGGTGTGAGAAGGCTTTCTCTAGGCAGTGATAATTAAGCACAGTTTTGGAAGAGGCTGTATTAACTGGATAGATATTGGAAGGGAAATTTTAGGCAAAAGGAGTAGTACAAAAGCACAGAGCCAAGATAATCATAACATGTTTTGGGGGGGAAATGTTGCTCAGTGTAACTCTAGTAAAGCATGTGTTGAATAGTAGCAGAAAGAATAAAGGCCATATCACAGAAGACCATATATGCTAGGCTAAGGAGTTTAAACTTTCTCCTAAAGCCATGGGAAGCCAATGACTGATTTTTTTTTTTTTTAAAGATTTTATTTATTTATTTGAGAGAGAGAGAATGAGAGATAGAGAGCATGAGAGGGAAGAGGGTCAGAGGGAGAAACAGACTCCCCGCTGAGCAGGGAGCCCGACATGGGACTCGATCCCGGGACTCCAGGATCATGACCTGAGCCGAAGGCAGTCGCTTAACCAACTGAGCCACCCAGGCGCCCGCCAAGGACTGATTTTAAACAACCAAGCGTCAAGGTCTGATACAGATTTCAGAAACACTTTTCTACGGTTTTAAGCTACGAATACTTCTGACGTCTCTGACGAAATCTCTAGTTGGCATTAGGCATATGTCCTGAATAGACAAGATAACTCAGTCAAGTAACTTGAAAACAAAACTAAACAAATCTAAGACATGACTTTGAAAGCAGAAAGGAAAAGTTGTACAAGTTACGTGAAACCGTTCAAACTTACCTTTTAAACTCGTCGTGGTAGAATTCAGACTTGCAAGTGACCATCTCACTCCCCTGGATGTCCTCACGACTTCGGACTCCCCCAAACACGTACAGCTCCATGGCCACGCCACAGGCCACGGCTCCAAATCTGAAAGGTCACACAGAGCATATGGATTTATAACTTGTAGCCGATTCCCGAACTCCTTTTCTGCTTGTTTTATCTCTGCAATGTTCTGGGTTTCATGACTATGCGAGTCTTTGTTTTTATGAAATGGATTATTCTTTTATTTTTATAGAAACCAAATGCTAAGTCAAGTGAAAGATTCATTTGAAAGAAAGGGGGTGCCTACAGAGTCCACAACTGCATTCTCGCACCTTCTCTCCTTTAGCGGACAGATAGCGGTCCACTGCTGGGTCCTTGGGTCGTAACACTCCACAGATTCGAAGAGTTTCCCGTACGATCCTCCCCCCATGGCATAGATTTTCTTTTTCATGGCTGCATAGCAGCCGATCTGGAAGGAGAAAGCGAGAGTTGGGGAGGCAACACTTACAATCCACGTTCGACAAATGCTAACCTTAGAGAGCACCGTAGGGAAAGGTTTCGATTTCTAATAGTAAAACTATGGTATCTTCCAATACTACAAAGACAGGACTTGAAAAGCAAGAAGAGGTAGTACACATACTGTTTGTTACCTCTGTCTGACACGACTGTGCTCAGGGAGATACGTAAATGACCCTAATTTTTAAAGAGCTTTCCAGTCTCTCCATTCTTCCACCACTATTTGAAGATTCTGAGATTTAGATTCTGTTGAGCAACATCTCACTCAGTTCCTGCTCCAAGTGAGTGGAGCACCGAGACTGGGAGCACAGCACATGAGGTGTAAATATCCACAGGACCGGACGAAGCTTCAGGGGGAAGAAGAGCCCCTCCCTCCCACACGGGAATGGGACTACAAGAGACCGTGCTTGAAACGGCTAATGGCAGCCACATTTTCACTCTATTCAGGACACAATGGCCGTGCTTACCTGCAGGCTGTTTCTCGTTAGGCCCATATGATGATTAAGAAAATAGGGCTGGAAGACCGGGCCACCTCCTAGGTGAGTGTGCTCCCGAGGCGCTTGTCAAGCACAGGTGTGCACACAGAAGCCCAGCGCAGAGCCCACCATTAGGGCGAGCTCTCGCACACACTCCATCTCCTATCCTGGCGCACGGCAGATGACCAAGAAGGCGGGCCACCAACAGCGACAGAAGCCTACAACATTCACTCTTTCAACACTATCGATTGCACTAAAAAAGGCGTATGTGGGAAAAGAAGAGACGCTAATTTTAAAACCCAATTTGTAATCACAAGATATGGTTCTCACCTTTCTAACCATGGTCAAATCAGGTTGCTTCGTCCAGGTTTTAGAATAAATGTCATAACACTCCATGGAAATTAGCTCTTTTTCACCATCCTCTCCTCCTAAAATGTACAGCATTCCATCTATCTCCACAATTCCAAAATTATGTCGTGGCTGAAAAGACATCAAAGATCTCTGTACACAACTACCAGACTGAAAGCAGATATCCACACCTTTAATAAAAATCACAGGTATCATCACATTCCAGAGTTTCAGCAAAGAGGTGCCATGCTCAAAACCACCTCTCTCAGACATCTGTAATTTCCCTAAGCAGCTCACCCTTCTGTCACAAGAGACAGAACCCAATCCAGGAGTTATTCGGGACAAGGGAATTACCTGCATGATAAATTTACTGGCAGAATCACCATTTTTTAAGCACCACAGCTCACAACAACAAGAACTATTACCTTCTCGTTCACTAAAACTATCTGTGTTTAGCAATGGGCTGTAGCTAAGTGTTTCCAAGGTGGCGTGTGAAAGACAAGGAAGAACCACAGCAAGAGCACTGCCCGAGGCTGGGAGAGGCACGGGGAGGCCAGGCTCCTGCTACGGCCAACTGGAATGACAGAAGCCAGAGGGGTCATTTGACAACAAATACTTAAGTGTCCCCGCCATCCCTTCTGTGCCCAGCACTGTTCTAGCACTAAAGACGGAGCCCTGAGCAGACAGACAAAATCCTCAGCCATCAAGGAGTTTGTGTGAACAATTAAAAACTATCCAGTATGTGAGAAGGTGCTGCGTGACATGAAGAGAAAGAAAATGGGCAGAGATGGGAGAGCTGAGGGGCAGGAGGGAAGGCCTCTCTGGGACGCCCCACGTGGACAAACACCGGCGGAAGCAAGGAGCGAGCCCCATGGGCAGCTGGCAGAGGTCCCAAAGCACGAGTGTGCGCAGGTCCGCGGAGCCACGAGGAGGTCTGATGGACGAGAGGAGGGAGCTGGGACGGTGGGCACTAGCGTAGCCAGCAGGGGCTGTGGCGGGTCGCCACCTCTCTCCTACGTGTACACAGATGCAAAATAAAGGGAAGTGCTGAAGGGAAGACAGGCACGCTTCCAAACAAATGAAAAAGAACATTTTACCTCATTCATTGGTGGCAATGCCGTCCATGTGTTTGCATCTGGGTCGTATTTTTCTCCTGAGCTCAGGGTCTGCTTATTTTCATCTTGGCCCCCAAACACGAACAAGAATCCCTCTGTAAAAATCAAACAAGACACACGAAAAAGTTGAAACTTCACTCTTCAACTTCCATCTCCTGCTGAATACAAATGGCACAGCTGTAGAGACAGTATGTGGAGGGAACTTCTCTAATGACAACAGTCGATTTGAGGTCTTCATCACAATTCATTCGATCCTTGCTGAGAGAGGCTAAATCACATCTGTGGGTCACTTTGGCAAGTTCACCTCACTCAGCAGCTGAGTGGATTCCCACTACCCTACAGCGTGCAACCCAGACTGGCACCACCCACAGGGACACCAAGCAGCTCCATCTATCCTATCCCCACTCTGTGATTCTCAAACAACTTCTGATCCACAGCCCACATCTGCTCGTTCAAGACCCAGGAGCACTCAGATCTGGGGCACCTGTGCACTTCATATTCAAGATAGCATCTAAGAATCACTGTTGAACTTCCTCTTTCAGGTAATGGTGGATTAGGTTATTCATACCAACTTCTGTGCAAAACAGCTAAATTGCCAGACAAAACATTTTTGTTTTGTTTTGTCTTTTTTTTTTGACAAGAACTTTTGAAATAAAATAATCTTAAAAGAGAAGAAGCCAACCGGACAATATGGCAAAGCTGAAAGGAAAAGTGGGAGCTGGAGAGGTCACCACCCATGAAAACCATTTTGCTTTAAGGGCATTTACCAAAGTGGGAAATTTCCAACCTTTCTTATAATGGCTTTGAGGGCGTGAAAGGGACAAAAATCAAAACCCCAGGCCCACAGGAAGTGTGACTTCTGGCACAAGAGCCTCTCCAAAGTTCAACAGGAATTAGAACCCAGATTTAAATATCCTCCCTTGTCTAGGAGATCTCAAGGTTTGAATTTGATTCACAGTAATTCAATTCCAAATTTGCAGTGCTTATAGGCAACTAGAAGAAACAAATGTAAAACTTGTGTGGAAGGAAGTATCCTTACCTAATCTTTAGATTCTAATATTCTAAGATTTTAAAGCATCAAATTATTCCTATAAATAATTTTTAATAAAATGATCAGCACCCAACCAAAGATACTCGGACACAGAAACTAGACTCTATAAAGAAGAACCAGCAACAACAGACAACAGGAAGTAGTCTTGCAGAGACTTCAAATTTCAAATACTGGACTACCCAGAAAGATGACAAAATGAGAATGTTTACTATGTTTAAAAACTGAGTAACAAATTTCAAAAAGGTTTTATTAATTTATCTGAGAGAGAGAGAGCGAGAGAGAGCATGAGCATGGGGGAGGGGCAGAGGGAGAAGCAGACTTCCCATTGAGCAGGGAGCCCGATGCAAATGCCCTGAAAGACAAACTTTAAGAGAACTCTTAGAAAAAGAGGACTGTAGAAGTGACACAGCAGATCTGAAAAAGATTTAAAGAGAATCTCTAAGAATAAAAAAAGAAAAACACCAGACAAAATTTAAAAAATTTAGTAGATGGGTTTAATGGCAGATCTGTCACAGTTAAAGAGAGAACTCATTTAGTGGAGGGTAAGTCAAAAGAAACCATAAAGAGGGCAGCACATGGAGAAGCAAAAACATGGAAAACAAAACAAAACAGAGGCAGGAGGCTTAAGGACAGAGCAAAAAGGTGTAGCCATGTTTAAATGGACTTCCAAAAGCAGGAGGAAAGAAGACAATGGGGCAGAGGCAATACATGAAGATGTAAAAATAAGAATTTTCCAGATTTAAGGAAAGGCCAAGCCACAGAGTCAAGATGCCCTAAAATTCTATACCCAGCACAAGTATCCTTTAAGCATGAAGGCAAAGCACGTTAGACAAAGAAATCGAAGTGTCTGCTACCAGTAGACCACAATAAAGGAAATTCAAAAGGACAGACCTTAGAGAGAAGGCAAATAATCCTAGATGGAAGGTCTCAGGAGTAAGAAGGAAAAACAAAGAAAGTGGTGAATATGTGGGTAAATCTAAACACTCTCTCTCTCTCTATATGCATATATTCAAAACAGATGAATCAAACATTTATATGTAGATACTTATTCATAAATAGTCATAAATTTTAACACTGCAAGACTGTGAAACATGAACAGGAGAAATGTACTTGGGCTTTTATAACTTAAGAATACAGGCTATGGTATCTATGATGACTTTCAAAGGAATACAGACAAAGAATATAACTTCTAACCTGGAAGAGCGGAAACAAAGTGAATGACAAAAAAAGTCCATCAATTAAAAAAAAAAAAGGTAAGAAAAGAAGAAACACAGTACTGGCTGGACAAACAGGAACCACTTGGTCATGTCACAGCTTTGCTCACTACAACTGGACACGACCCCATCCTCACTGCTCAATGTTTCTGAAATACCAGCCCCTCGAGGAAATCTTGGAAAATCTGTGACATAGGAAACACTGTGGCAGCTGTGTGTGAAAATTATGAATAGGTGTACACATTGTGGGAAGGAAATGTAAGGTGCTAATTCTGAGAAGAGAGAACAAAGAAATCAGACTCACATCCTGTTGGCTATCCCACTGCATCGTGCTGCTTACTACTGACAATAACTTCAATCACTTTGGAACCCCAAAAATGATTCCATTTCTGTACTATAGTATAGCTTCGGCCATTTCTATAATGTGGAATGGTATGGTATAGCTTTCAAAATCTTTAAAGTAATGTTAGTGGGCAAGCAGAGACTATAAAATATGAAGGATTCCAGGAAGACTGTTGATTTTAATTGGAATTTAGTGAAATGGCACTTGTGGGTGAACCCCAAAGAGCAGAGCAAGGTGAAGAGAAAGACAGCGAACAGTCAGAAGGCAGCAAGTACAGCCTTTCCTATCACCTCTGTGAGTGAGAGCTTTGACTAACGTGGAGCCGTTTTCAAACTTGCGAAGGTCAAGTGAAACATGCGTTCTGTAGTAAAATAACTTGAAATCATGCTAATATAAATAATGTTTTCTAAAGTCTCACACGAAATGCCTGCTTTGACATAACACCTTTATTTTTCACGTAGTTACTGTAATTCTAAACTGCATGAATTCAGAAAAACGGGACTATTTATGGCTCAAGGATTCGAATTCCGTGTCTGGGTGCGGCCACAGAGCTAACGGGTGGGAAGAGTCACTGAATGTGGCTCCTCTATCGGTAAGACATCAAGTAAAATGCTCCTCTACTAAAGTCTTAAAAATAGCTACGTATTAAAGATTCAGGAACAATAAAGACTGACAGAAGACACTCTTCTCCTTACAAAGTCTTGAAAGCGAGAGCTACACAGAAGACGTCATCATGGAGATAATAAAATTATCTCTTAAAATTAAATCTCTAAAAGGTTTCGAGTCATTCTGTACAACCCTAAAATCACATATCACTCGATCTTGTGTTTAAGTAAAATTGACCACAGAATGGTACCTGCTGAGAGAACTCCGTGGTTAATTCTTGGCATGCTTAAAGGGGCCAGTTCAATCCAAAGCTGCCTATTAGGGTCATAAAGAGGGCACATACATCGCATCGCTGCTGTTGGTTTCCGTGAACTAAGGAAATAAATAATTGATTAGCAGTTAATGTGTTTTATATAGTTCTGCTTATAATAACTGTGACTAGTTTTACTGCTCTAAAGAATGTTTAAAACATTTTAAAAAAATCTGCTATTATGCTTAGATACCAAAAAAAAAAAAAAATACCATGAATTCCTGTTTACATGGAAATAGCTCTTCCCTTATATGACTCTTGAAACGATGCACATCCATACTTACACTCTTTCTTCTCCGCCAACAGTCACAATGCACTCCGAGTAGCCCCGGGGCTTGAAGTTTGCGAGCATGGCCTCCCCTTGCTGTGGCTGGCTCAGCGGTATGTTGTTGCACTCTCTGACAATTTCTCGTACTAACGGTTCATTGAGCATCTGTTCCCGTAAGTAGCTGGAGTCTAACCCTGAAACCCACAGTGCTGACATCACGTCCTTCATGTGGACCTGCACAGGAGGGTAGGAAGGATGGGGAGAAAGAAAATGTAGGACGCAACACACAGTTTGTAGAAAATACGTTTTCTGACTCATGGAAAAGCTGAAATTGTTAAAGGATTATCAGCGGGCAAGTCACAAGTGCTGGAATATGCTTTACTGGCCCCTTTCCTTTCTACTTCCCCATAGCCTTGATAAAGACAAGTTTAACTTAAAGAAGCATCAGTCCAGGTTTATATTTGAGGTATCACGGAAAAGTTGCAAGCAGCTTTCTTTACACCCTAAAGGGTCACTTGGCCGCAGCGGCCTTATTTCACATAGCTGGATGTGCTGGGAGTTAAATCACATTCATGGCAACATTATACACACTAGTAGCTTGACTCAGTACAGTTAAACAGATAATTAAAAGAGAGCAACATTAACATTACAAGGAAAACACAGAAAAGGTATAGTTCAGAAAAATTCTGAGTACTATGTATTTCTTCATTATTAATTGTTAAAAATAATCTAACATATAAGATGAATTATGTACTTTTCAGGATGACTCATTAAATTTGAACTAATGGACTACAGCATTCTACATACAAGAGGCGAAACTCCTTAGTGATTAGTTTTTCTTGGTTTTGGAATAGTCAACCTCGCCCCTTGAAGAAGAGAGGAAGGGACAGCTAGCGACTGTGGTCTCTGGGAGCGGCGGTGAACTGGGAACCCTCCTACCCCCTTTCCTCATCTACCCAACTAACGTGCAAAGCCAAACGCCGGCTATACTGATTATGCTGAGACTACGGCCGTATGGGGGTATGCATTTCTTTATCATCACTGCGCAACAGTTTCCATCTGTGTTACAGTAGTCCGCAGTCTCTAAATAAGCCTGCAGAATTTTAAAAATTACAAGATATTCACGAAAACCCATGTCAACAGTTGCTGAGAACCATTAACCATGCGATTATACATTTTGAAAACTTCCCTAAAACCTAACGTAGTTCTTATTTCGAGTATAGCAATTGGAGCTGGAGTCTATAAACACCGGACTTTTTAAAGCTCTGTGATTTTGCTCCCTCCCCCACTGCAGTGCCAGTTTGGATTTAAAGGCTGATACTCTCTGAGACCCTTCCTTCCCAGCCGTTACTCCCAGAACCTTCCCCTCTGGAACCACACTGCCGCACTGCAGAGCGCTCTCCTGCTCTCTGCTGAGTGGTGTCGATCACTCCAGGGAGAGCCCACACCAGAGAGGTTCCAGACGCTCACTCCCCTCACCCTTCTCTGCTGCCTGTATCAGAGTCCCTGCCTGGGTCCGCCCAGTAATGGTGCAGAGATGGATGCTGAACAAGAGTTAGGGACATTGAATCTCTAAAATCCCCAGCTTAAGCTTGAAATGCATTTTCCCGCTAAAAGCAATGCAGAAAGGACATTATGTTCCTTACAAGTATTAATATTTTCATTGCCATATTAGGAGTTACATGCGCTTTTGTAGTCTGGTCTGAAAAAAACAACCACTTCAATGATCCTATGCAAAGATGTACCACAGACATCTTTTATTTTCTTTAAAGATTTTATTTATTTGAGAAAGAGAGCATGGAGGGAGCAGAGGGAGAAGGAGAGAGAATCCCAAGCAGACTCTTCTCTGAGCATGGAGCCCGATGTGGGGCTCGATCTCATGACCCCGAGATCACGACCCGGGCCAAAATCAAGAGTTGGAGGCCCAAATGACTGAGCCACCCGGGTGCCCCCAGACATCTTTTAGATCACAACTTCGTAAGCCTTTCCAGTTTATGGGGAAGGAGAAAACACCCATACTTTGGAGTAAATAAATAAATGAGTGAACGAATGGAGTAAGGAAGTAAAAAGGCAGGGTCAGACCATGTTATAAACCACAGGTACCTTTCTTAGTTCTGTATCATGTGCTATCCAGCGAATTACTGCTTCAAACACATATCTTTCGTTGCCGACATTTAACTTCTCGAGAGAAATCACTTCTTTAAGCTTCTGAGGACTGAGTTCTAAGAATTCTTCTGTGCTGCTGACGTCTCGGAAATGAGTCTCCAGGTACTCCGTGGCTAGGTAATGGACGTGGTGCAGGCAGTAATGGAGGGCAAAGTCGCGAATGCCAATGCAGTTCTCGGCCGCGATGCAGCCTTCCAAAAATTCACAGCACAGAGTTTTAAGATCTGTCAGCAGGAGCAGGTCCGCTGCCTGTACAACATCTTGGATTGTATCTTCGTTCAGCCGGATCTACAAGAGTATCATAAATATTTTACGCTTCAATGTATGTATTTAAAGCCCAAACCACTAACCTATTAGGCTGAACCGCATGAAAGCTCCACTTCTGTAGGTCAGAGATGATCAAGTATTGGCAATTTCACACAGTCCAGCCCAGTGCTTCTTTTTCAAGAGGAGTTTGAGGGCACCGGCGAACCCTCAAACGATGTGAACAGAACATGGCTGGCTGACTTTTCCCAGCACTTCCCTGGCTTTACCAACTAACTATCACGAACCCTTCGCAGGTGCACTGTCCTCGTTGCTCACTTCTAGAACTAAGTGGCCGAAATGCTTGTGAGGTGGATAGTGCTGCCTTCTGTGGTAAACTGAAGGGGTTTCCTTTAAACACCAGCACTGGAACTGTGGCAAATCCTGCCTCCAGATACACCACGTTCTGTCTTTTGCCAGATGGCATGCCAGACACACCACACCGGCCCCTTGGAGAGGGGAGGGCCACGTGGCCCGAGGACCTCATTCTGAATGCCAAATATCGCATTCGGTGCAACACGTACACTCTGGTCTCAAAGCTATTTTCTGGAAGAAATCCCTACGGTAAGATTTCTTGTTTATCATTAAGAACTTCACTTTTCCTTAATCTTCTGATGCCGCTTCCTCCTCCCATTTCACAGTTCTTGCATGCAACACTAAGACAATGTAAAGAAACAAGCCTCTAAAATATTGCCACAATCACAACGATCCAGATTCTCCTCTCCCAAAGAACGGGCGCTTGTCCTACACTCGAAATGAGAGGGAGAGGCTCCAGAGTACAGTACAGCAAGAAACATTGTGTCATATTTCACACATTGTGTACCGCAGATGCAGAAAAAGAATGTATGACTGCCAATCACCTTATATAAACTGAGCAACAGAACTGTGGAAAGAAGTGTGTCGAGCAAGTCACAAGTAAGGAAAAGTTTCCCGTTTACTTGATGTATTAAATTCAGCCACACAGGGGCGCCTGGGTGGCTCAGTCGTTAAGCGTCTGCCTTCGGCTCAGGTCATGATCCCAGGGTCCTGGGATCGAGCCCCGCATCGGGCTCCCTGATCGGCGGGAAGCCTGCTTCTCCCTCTCCCACTCCCCCTGCTCGTGTTCCCTCTCTTGCTGTGTCTCTTTCTATCAAATAAATAAATAAAATCTTTTTAAAAAATAAATAAATTCAGCCACACAACAGTGGTTGGCTGTACACCCTCAGATACAGGCATGCAAGAAAACCACCACATTCCATCCTGATAAAACCAAAGTGCCAGATCAGGAGTTGGTTATAATTTATGTTGCAATTATGGTTATAAACCATAATTAATTTTTTCTCTATTTTTCTTTTCTTAAACCATAATTAATTTTAACTGGGAACAAAACACTGAAGTCAATCTGTAAATAAGGTTTCAAGATTCAAATCCACGCCAGAAGAGGAATTCGTTCCTCCTGGCTTATAACCTGTTATAGTTGCTGCTGAAATATTTTAAAAGTTAGATGACAGGCTGGTCCTCAGCCTGGTTTTGTGATGCTTCCGAGTATCTTCAGTATTTTAAGGACTGTCCCAAATCAATCTAAATTCATTTATTTTTAACAATCACACACATAATCTTACATGCACACACACCCCCCCACCTAGTGTTCAGAGAAAAGAGAAGGGGTAACATCATGAAATTAACCCAAAGACTTCAAAAAGAATGACAATCACCGAGGTTGACTGAATGAATATATCCAGAGAAGGCAAGCAGTGTGTTAGAAAACACGTAGGAGGCAGCTCTTACAAACAGGAAAGGTAAAATAGATGAGGAAGGAATACGGGAGAGAGAAGGAAAGAAGCTCTCAAAAAGAGTCAAGATAAAATGCATTCTCACATAACCAAATGTAAGATACACTAATTTCTTCCTGTTAAAAAACTAGCCCTGGTTCAACCTAAGATTATTCATAAGAGCCCTCGTGCTACATTTTAAATCACAAAATCAGGGGTTGGGAGCTTGAGAATGGCAAAGAAAAAGAAAGAAGTCTAATCACTTATCACCTTTTCCCCTGGGTTTCATTAAATCCCCAGAAATATAAGTGGGCAGAAAGTAAAGGGACATCAGCAAGAATGGGGTACAACAGGAATGTTGGTCCTACTGAGGCAACAGAACCCAGGTATCACGAACACAACGCAGGTGCCTGTCATTTGTGTGAATATCAGACTCTTTCTTTTTTTTTTTTTAAAGATTTTATTTATTTATTGGAGAGAGAGAGAATGAGAGACAGAGAGCACGAGAGGGAAGAGAGTCAGAGGGAGAAGCAGACTCCCTGCCAAGCAGGGAGCCCGACATGGGACTTGATCCCGGGACTCCAGGATCATGACCTGAGCCGAAGGCAGTCGCTTAACCAACTGAGCCACCCAGGTGCCCCAGACTCTTTATTTCTATAAAATAACTCCCACCGCCCGAGGAAGCTCCCATTTCCAGGTTATGGGGTACAGAGCAAGATGGGAATTAAGGTTTAAAAACATAAAGACAGCCATGAAAGGAGCATCCCAGGTCCTTCCCATCTCATGATGGAAGGTGGAGCTCAGAATGATAAATACAAAAACAGGGACTGGGTTAAGATTTTACTCAGTCTGCTTTTCTTTTAAGAGCAGAGCCCCGGAAGAACAGCTGGGCGCCATTCCCAGCAGGAGATACGTGTCACACAGACAATGATGGATGAAGAGGACAATGTTGCTGGGTCATAGAATGGATGAAGGAGACCCTCACCCTGAGCTTGAGAGGCATCTACTTAGTCTTCCTCCCTGTGTGTCTCATCATACCTGCCCACTGAAGATGTAATCCAGGATCTCTCTCATAACCATTACCGATATCCCTTCAAGTTCAATCTTATAGGTTGATCCATCATCTTTTGGAGGATTATAGTTTAACTTTGTCCTAAGAAAGGGAAAAAAATGTAAAATTTCTATGAAAGAACAGAAATAGCTATAAATATTTATGCACTAAAACTCTATAAAGTAGATATTTATCAGCATATGAACCCCACCTAGGAAATGTTATTTGTTAACTTTAGATTTATATATATATATACATATATATATATACACACACATACATACATTTTATAACTTCTGACTACAAAACACTTGTTCCAGGATTCAGAATGCTACTTCTTAAAAAACAGACAACCAAAGAACTAAGAGCCACCTGAGTAAGGATCTCTACTTCACCTTGGGAGCCCCAGTCCTGTTAGGCTTTTATTTTTTTTTTCACGTATTTAATTATCTAATTATTTTCAATAATGTAACAAGGACCCCACAAACATCCCACCCAAAACACAAGCTAGGACCTTGACAAGAACCTGCTTCTACCCAAACGTTCCTTCTCACCATCCACCCCTCTGCTCTCCCCATCAGAAGTAACTATCGTCCTAAATCCCATGTCTGATTTTTCCCTTGCTTCTTTGTTATTACTGTACCCACGAAACCACTCTCCTTGGGGTTGTGATCTGCACCGCCCTGTCACACACGTGTGGAACATCTCTTTGTGTCTGTGGCCACATGTGTTTTCTCTTCTGTGAAACACATGTTAAGTTCAAGTCTCCTGTTCATTTTTTACACTGAGTTAACTGTCTTCATGTGGAGGTGTAGGAGTTCTTTATTAGATTCTTGATATTAAACCTTTGGCAGACTTGACACCTTTGTTTAAGGCAATGAACAACTTGAAGAATAATCTTTCATGGTAAATGTTTTTTGTGTCTTGTTTAAGAACTGGTCCCTTACCCAAGGTCTAAATGATGTTCATAATTTAGCAGTGAGAAAAGGTAAGACACAATCTAAATTGCACTTAAGAACCTCCCACCCCCTGAGGCTGGGAATTGGTCAAATGAGGCAGCTGTGGAAGGAGGGTGAGAGATGAGCCAAAAATAGACACAGGTTGACAGTGGTAGTAAGGAGCTGAATTCCCAGGTCCTGCCTCCACATATATACACAACTCCCCGTAAGGCCCTCCCCACCCAGCTCCAGTGTAAGATAAGTGATTTACATCGTGAGGAGTATAAAACAGAGGGTGGGTCTCTGGACAGGGGCGATATCAGGCACATTTGAGGGTAAGTGTACTGCACCAAAAAGAGAGAGAGCAAATAAGAGTGTTTACATACTGAATGCTGAGACCATCAATCTTTTTTCCCCAATTCTGCTCTTAAGTATTGAAAGCCAGACTACATTCTCCAGGCAAGAAACTGGAGGGCTCTTTGGAGGACCTGACCCGCCCTGAAAGGAAAGACCTAAAGCTATGGACATAGGTCTGCCCGAAGAGCACATGACCTCAAACTTCTGAAGAAAAATTATTTCCAACATAGATTTTGATTACCAGCCAAACTACCAATCAAATGTCAGGATAGAATGGATATTTTCAGCTACACATGGTCTCAAAACAAATTATCTCCCTTGCGACCTTTCTCAGCGTGCTGCTAGAAAATGTGCCCCAATAAACAAGGGAGTGAATCAAGAAACAGGAGGATTTCAGTAACTAAAAGACATGCTCCAACACAGGAAAGAAGGGAAGTCAATGCAGGCAGTGGTGCAGAATGGTCCTGGGCCAGCAGCTATGTACAAGTAGAAGGAAGCCAGTCCATCCTGAGGCCTTGGAGACCCTGAAGAAGATGAAATTGACGGGATAACGTATCTGGAGTATGAAGATCATCAGACAACCTTGTTTCCTTACTGTATTTCATGTCTGCTATTCCTGCCTCTACAGGTGCTCACTGCAGCCTGGGTTTATCTGCATGCCTGACACTTTTAATAAGTGAAGGAAAAAATCTTGTCAATTCCCAACCAAGAGAGAAAAATCGTATTAGTGGTAAGACTAAGACCTAAATCTGAAATGCACTGTAGAGTCTTTTTGGCAGCACACACGGAATTTTTCACTGAGGATGTCATGACTGTTTGTATTTCTCAATCACTGTGCTGGTTATCGACGCATTGCCTCTCAGCTCCAAATTCTCCCTTTTTGCATGCCCTGTGAAAATGGATCTGAGCCTCTTAAATAATTTTCCTTTGTCAACTGGCATGACGTTAAGCTTTTCGGCAGAGAGCGCTGGAAAGACTGTGCTTCCTGGTTCTGGTCAGCAGCCTGGAAGGCTCCTATAACACAGCCAGCCTCCCCAGCACGGAGCTCCTGGGGGCACAGCTGCCGGCAGCATGCGGGAGTGTTCCCTGTGGCTCCTGAGGGCAGTTTTGACACCTCTCGTGAACAGCTTTCCCAGGCACCTGCGAGGACAGACTTCTGGCAAGTTCCAGCTGCATGGCTTCCGTGCCATGCAGAGAGTTGTGGCTGTGCGCTGTCCAAAATGTCTGGAATTCAGCCTCGGGTGGAGGCTGCTCCTTCTATGGGCTATTCCTGTATTTTTTAGAGTTTTCCTTACTTCTTACGAGCTAATCCCTCATGACTCCTATCTCCCACTGTAGTTTATAATTCTTTATATTAACTTTCTTTGTTGAAGTTACTGTGTGGACTGTCTCCTGACCAGACCCAGACTGAGAAGGTCGCTATTTAAAGGCTGTAATTCTGGAACATGTTCAGGTGGAGGAACCTCAACCTAGAACTGAAGCTGTTCTTATTTTAAAATAATCCATGTTCACCCAAGAGCTGGCTGTGCCTGCCCGTGCCTGGTGTGGACAGTGGGAGGAGGAGGGGCACTGGACTGGGGATGAAGGGGCTACAAGCAGACCTTTCCTTTCAGTGGTCAACCATGTGACTGCACGGTGGCTGTGTTTTTGAAGTTGACTACACCATCATATATTTTCACAATGAAGGATACAGTTTTCTGTCTCAGTGAGAGATGGCAAAGAGGACAGAAAATAAGATTCCTGTAGATATGAGCACTGACCATTTCAGACTTCTCTAAAAGCAGATCCTTTTTAAAGCCATGAAAAATGAATCATTGTACTATCAAGTCTCTAAACATCTGAAATGTCTGCTCTCTCCTGGTACTATCCCTGCACACTCCATTCCTACCCGTCTTGTAAAGACTTCCTGAAATGTCAGTTCCACAAAAAGTTACTCCTCGTCACTCCACCCTCCACAGGCTGCACCTGCACCCTCACCTCCATGCAGGTACAAATAATTTCTCCTGGTATAGATTTCCCAAGCACTTTATGAGTCCATCAAGTTCTGTTGCCATTGTGGTATTTAAGTACATATCCCATTTCATATCTCCTTTATTTAACTTCAAGTTCCTTAAAGCCAGAGTCCTGTTTATCAATGGCTCCTGACAATGGAGCCCAGTGGTTCACAAAGAATAGATGTTCAACAGTTATTTGTAAAGTAAGTGTTGGAAGTGATATTGGTCTTTGAATATTCAAAGTATTGTCACATGAGGTTTCCTTCCTGCATGACCTCAGGTACAGTGACGTGGAACCAGAAGCGGTATGAGGAAGAGCTTTTAATAATCGCACCTGTCCAACGCTGAAAGGACAAAAGCACAGCATTTCTCAAACTTTAATGTTCAACTGGGTCATCCAGGGGTCTTGATCCAGAAGGTCTTGGTGGGGCCTGAGTTTCTGCATTTGTAACAAGGTCTCAGGCAGCACAGATGCTGCTGGTCTCCAGACCCCTCTGGGTAGCAAGGGGTTAATCGATGCTTCCCAAATTACCTATGGGTTATTTGGTACTTGTAATCCATCCCAGATGAGTATTTTGTAAAATATAATAAAAGTATAATGGGAATATAATGTACCACGTGGCGACTACAGTTAATAATATTGTACTGCATATCTGAAAGCTGCCAAGAAAGGAGATCTTACAAGTTCTCATCACAAGAGAAAAAGTTTTGTAACTATGTAAGGTGACAGGTTAACTGTACTTACCGTGGATATCATTCTGCAATGTATACAAATATCAAATCATTGTGTTGTATACCTGAAGCTAATACAATGTTATGTCAATTATACTTGCAATTAAAAAATGAAGGAATTATTAGAAAAATGAAATAAAAAGACACATAAAATGCAGGCCCCAATTATTTTATCATCAGATTCAACAGACATAAAATTACTCTGGCAAATTGCTACAAGTCTCTAAACTCTTAACCTCAGTGGGGCACCTGGGTGGCTCAGTCGGTTAAGCATCTGCCTTTGGCTCAGGTCATGATCCCAGGGTCCTGGGATTGGGCCCAGCGTTGGGCTCCCTGCTCGGCAGGGAGTCTGCTTCTCCCTCTCTCTCTGCCCCTCTCCCCAGCTCGTGCTCTCTCTCTCTCTCCCCCAAATAAATAAAATCTTAAAAAAATAAATAAACTCTTAACCTCCATGCATGTACTTGTATTATGGCGGCTTGTTATCCGAACATCACCAGTGTGCAGGTGATGTCCTCGTGGGCTGCATGACCACCCATCTGTCAAGAATATGGTGAAAGCTGATCTCAAGTCTCTTCCAATCCTAGCTGGTAAGAGTCACTCAAATCTATTTTGAAAGAGTCTTGCTTCAGAGCCTACCATTACTCTGTTACCTCCTTCTCTCAATTCTTGGAGAGCTGCCATGCCTTTCCAACTCAGTAACCTCAAATATGTCTTTTTCTCCCTCCTTTTGTCTTCCCTTTTTCCTGATTCCCCAGCTAAGTCTCTTGATCTCTTTAGTTTTTGTCACTCTGGCTTCATTTCTTTCCTTCAGGAAAGACCTTAATTTGCCCAAGATCCACCAATTAACTGTCCTCATCCTCCAGCCCAGTACATTTTCTCCATAACTTCCCCTTTTTATCTAGAATTTTCTCACCCTTGCACATCATCTCTCTCTCCTTTGCTACACAGAATTCGGTGAACTGCACTGAGTTAACAAATTTAAAAAAAAAAGAAAAGAAAAGAAAGCTCACCCAGAGCATTAATAACTGACAGTTCTGTTTTGAAAGTTAGCCTGTAAAAAAACAGGAGGTAAATCAACTGT